TATTTTCGTGAAATTTTAATAAAGAACATTCCGTTAAAAAATAAATACATTTCTGTCCTGTTTTAACCACCTTGATTGAAATATTTTTTTTTCTCGTTGCTAGCGAATTGCTTTAGTATCCGCAAAGCTGTCAATTTGTGTTTGGGGTTTTATGAATCGGTGGGGAAAAAAAATGGGGGAGGGTTGATAGGGAAATGGCTGGTGTCAGAATATTTTCTGAAGAGTCCACAGAATGTGATGGATGATGCTCAGCTAAACGTTAAAATAATGCAAATTCAACTTAGATAATCTTTATGACCGTAATTTTGAGTGAAGGTTTATTTTTTATTTTATTTTATTAATTTATTTATTATTTTTTGAGTAAGTGCACTTATTTCCTGAGTGGATCATTATTTTTCTTTTAAATATTATTATTTCGATAATTATGCTTGTAATTCTTCAGTAACATTGTGTTGGTTAAATAAAACCTGATTTTTGAAATTCTTAAATATACTGTTTCTAAGAGTGTAAAACTCTATAAGCACCAAATATCCAGCTAAAGTTATATATTCTAAGTTATATATACATCACTTAGTAAATATATATATATTAGAAATTTAAATAAAAATTTTAAAATATAGAATTCAAAATGTAACACAAAAACAACAAATTCAAAAAGTTTTTTCAGGATCTTGTTTTTTTTTTATGCCCGGCGAATTTTGTAATAGATACTGTAAATGCCAAATGTTGCATGTATAAAATTTAGTTCTGCAATCCACTGGACCTGTAACCCTTTGAGGAATATTATAGCCAGTGACTGTCATTTGGTGTGATAGACGTTCCATAATTCTAGTCCCCAAGCTTCATGAATGTATGTTGGGGGCAAATCAACAGACCAAAAGTCCTGATGTCTGATATGACTGTAGTGCGAGGGTTGATAATATTACCCCGTAAATAAAAAAAAAAAAAAAAAACAATTTCCTCATCTCGATATCTGCCAGTAGCCCGACTGTCTTTGTCACCATTGGGCTGTTGTGCCCATGAAGAAGAAGATTTTCATAAATAATATATTGAAGGAAACTGGTTAGAAATAGATTTAATTTGTTCTTCTATTTTAATTTCCCATGAAATATATCATGCTGGTACCAGTCAAAAAAATCGTAAATTAAACTGGTCTTTTGTCTCCGCTGTTGTGCCAATTTTTCTTATCTTTCAAAACATCAGCCCACAAAATTATTTTCTTACCACCAGCTTCACACAAGACATGACCTAACCACTATCAGTATTAAGAAAATCAATAATTTGAACTTTTGTTGGATATAAAATCTTCAAATATTTTGTTTTTTATCAATATTATTCTATTTACTTAAATTTGTGAAAAAAACCAAAACGGTTTTTAAAAAGGAATGTGATTCAAATCTAATCGGATACAAACTTGAACGAAAAAGAACCGGAATTAAATCTTTAAAACTCGAACTCACTCGTTCCATCAATAAACTCATCGGCCGGTCCTTTTAATAGTACTCCAAAAAAATCAGGTGGTATTTTAATTAAGAAAACATTTTTCCTAACATATTAAAGTCCCTTGTAAATTAAATATTCTTTTTCTTCCAAAGAGTTTTCTTTTCAATTTTTATCAATTTGGTGAAAACGTCAAAGCTTATTATTTTCCTGAAATTTTAACAAAGAAGATTCCGTTTAAAAAATAAATTTTGGCTATTTTAACCACCTTGATTGATCCATTTTTTATTTTTCACGTTGCTAACGAAATCGTCTTAGTATCTGCAATTAGCTTATATCTGAAGCTGTCAATTTGTGTTCAGGGTTTTGGGAATCGTGTGAATTAAAAAAAAATTTCCGAAATGGGGGGAGAATTCCCATGCTCATGAAATGTTCGATGTCAAAAATTTTTGAAGTGTCCACAGATTGTGATGGATGATGCTCAAGTCAAAACATTAAAATAATGCAAATTCTAGATAATCTTTTGACCATAATTTTCAGTGAAAGCATTTTTTTTATAAGTGGATTTTTTTGCGATGCATTAATCATTTTTTCTTATAAATACTTATGTTTTGATTAATATGTTTTAAAATTCCTTTTAACATTGTGTTCTTTAAAAAACCAAACCAAAAAAATATTTTTAATTTTTTAATATTAGCCATTTAAATGAAAATTAAAATGATGTTTATAAACGCAAAATTTAACACAAATAATATATATATAATTTGGTTTATTTATATTTTGAATTTTTATAAATCGGTTAATTTGACTAACGCTCGGATACTCATTCCAAATAAACTCAACTCGTTGCAGTGTATGGATAAATGTAGTTCTTCCAATCAACTGATCAGTAATCTTGAGGCGTTTGCCCAGGGTCTAGAGTGACTTATTTGGTGCGATTGGTTTTTTGCCAGTTCCCAACTGCGCCATTTGTACCATGAGGCTGTTGCGAATCAACTTTTAAACCAAAAGAATTCTAAAACTGTGTGCGTAGGGCTGACAATCTTACTCAAAATAAAAAAATTTACTTCTGTCTCGATATCTGCCAGTAGCCAGACTTCCTTTGCCCACCATTGGGCTGTTGGGCCTATGAAGAAGAAGATTTTTTAAATGATATAAAGGAAAAACTGGTTTGAAATGGATTTAATCTTCTTCTATTTTATTTTCTTGTGTAAATTTCTCATGTTTGAACTGCGTTTGAAAAAAAAAACGTTAATTAAACTTCTGTTATTCTCTATTATTTTGTTCTGTTATATTTTTCTTATCTTTTCAAGTAATTTCAGCTAACAAAAAGGAGTTTCTTACCCCTAATTTTGTTTCAAGGAGACATGACCTAACCAGTACTGATATTCAGAAAATCAACATAATTTGAACTTTGTTGGATATAAAATCTTCAAATATTTTGTTTTTCATCAATATTATTTTATCTTCATTTACTTGTAAAAAAAAAAAAAAACTATCAGTTTGTGAAAAAAATAAAGATGAATTTTTTTAAAAGTAATGTGATGAAATTCTAATCGGATACAAAAAACTTGAAAGAAAAACAACCGGAATTAAATCTTTAAAACTCGGAACTCACTCTGCCCATAAATATAAGAAACCATTTTAATCTGTTGGCTGTGTCTGGAATTAATTTCTTTTTCCACCTTTAATAGTACTCCAAAAACTCAGGTGGTTTTTAATTAAGAAAAACATTTTTTTCCTCTCATATTAAGTCCTGGAAAATTAAATCTTCTTTTTTTCCAAAGAGTTTTCTTTTCCAATTTTTATCAATTTGGTGAAAACGTCAAAGCTTATTATTTTCCTGAAATTTTAACAAAGAAGATTCCGTTTAAAAAATATATATTTTTTTTTTTTTTTTTTGGCTGTTTTAATCACTTGATTGAATTTTTTTATTTTTCTCGTTGCAAGCGAAATTGCCTTAGTATCCGTAAAGAAGCTGTCAATTTGTGTTTGTGGTTTTGTGAATCGTGTGAAGAAAAAGAAAAAAAAAAAGGGGGGGGGGAAATTCCACTCAAGAAATGTACGATGTCAGAATATTTTGTGAAGAGTCCACAGATTGTGATGGATGATGCTCAGCTAAAACATTAAAATAATGCAAATTCTGGATAATCTTTATGATCATAACTTGGAGTGAACGATTTTTTTTTTTTTTTGGCTACTTTCCTGACTGGATTATTTATTTTCTTTTAAATATTTTTATTTAGATAATTATGTTTAAAATTCTTCATTAACATGGTGCTTTTTTTTTTTTTTTTTTTTTTTTTTAAAAATTTCCTAATTCTTTAAATATGATATTTTTTAAGGTGTAAAATTATGATTATGCTTTTAAACGCCCAAATATTATCTAGCCATATATATATACATCACTGATGTATAAAATATAGTGTTTGTTACCGTATAGTCGTCTGATGGTCGATGGCTGTCACTTTGGTACCCTAGATACATATATCAACCCTAAACATAGGTCGCGGTTCTCGTTACATGATCGTAGATAGTGGTGCATCATTGGGCGGAGTCAGTTACTTGCGTCCGTAGCATATCCTTAAGCTACACGTGCCACCTGGGTACTGCTAAATGGTAACAGTAGTGCAGCCCTTGGGACATAAAAGACGTCAGCGCTTTGCATTTGCCAGCTGCACAGGTTTCATATTTTAAGTCCTTTAATGAAAATGTTTGTAGTTATAATAATTCAAATTCCCGGAAACCTATACTTCATAACAATTCATCATTCAGATCTTCATCATTCATTATCATTCATCATTCATTATCATTCTGCATTCATTATCATTCATCATTCATTATCATTCATCAGTCATCATCAATCGTCATTCATTAAATTCATCAACAACATTCCCTACATATTCATAAGTTTTTTAAATTCTTGTATTACTCATACATGCTAATTTTTTAATAGGCACTGATCTGCAAAATTTTTGGCATGTATAAAGGTTATTTTTGCAGTCAAGCCTGTATTAGTGTCGCTTTTTAGGGCCTGATGGGCAGTGACTAACGTTCTGGTGTTTTCGGGTTGGACTACAACATAAATGGCAGCTGCCATTTATGGACTCGTTCGGAAACCCTTTAGGCCAATGAATCCCGGTCTAATAGCGACACTAATCAGGCTTTTCTTATAAATTTACTTTATACAGATAAGCTTAGAATCAGTGCCTATTAAAAAATTTTTGTATATATAATACAAGAACATTTAAATGACTTACAATATATAATGGTGAATGTCGTTTAATGAATGACGATTGATGATGACCATGAGCCATACGATAATGATGATTGAAGATAATGAAGCAGCTTCTGATAATGAATGATAGAGCACCCGATAGATAGAATGATGAATGATAATGGCTCCGATGACGCTCTTACTGTCATAGGAGACCAGGGACCTTTTAAGTGGATTATATAATTACAAACATTTTCACCTAAAGGACTTAAAATATGTGGTTACTCGAGCGCCAGAGCGCTAGACGCTCGTTAATCTTTATGTCCCAAATTTGTGAATGCCAACGGCAACCGGTGTTCCCCCAGGTGGTCACCCACCCAAGTACTGACCTCCACCACTGATGCTTGACTTCAGTGATCCTAACGAGAGCCGGATGATTGTATATATATATATATATATATGTACAGCCACTCGACCAGTTCTCATTAATATACCGGTACCAGCCAAGGTATTTATACAAAAGTTGATATATATATATATATATTATATAATATTTAGCTTTTATAAACATCAAATTTTACAAATTTACAGACAGTATATTTTAAAAAAATTTATTTTTAAAAAAAAAATTTGATAAAAAAAAAAAAAAAAGAAGAAACTTAACGAAGAATTTTAAAACCTAATTATCTAAATAAAAATATTTAAAAGAAAACTAAATAATCCAAGTCAGGAAAGTAGCCAAAAAAAAAAAAATCGTTTCACTCCAAGTTATGATCATAAAAGATTATCCAGAATTTGCATTATTTTAATGTTTTAGCTGAGCATCATCCATCACAATCTGTGGACTCTTCAG